AAGATGAGCTACATTACGTTCACCAGTGAACTTGGGCAGCTGTTGTAAAGGAACTGATGTTCTGCTGGTTTCCTCTATGATATTATGCTAATCTAAGAACATGAACACAAAGGTTTAACAGCACTTAAAAAACCAAAACTTTTAAAATTAATGCAGATTGACTTTCTGTTATACCCCCCATAGTCAAGATCTAAAGGTGTGGAGTTAATGAATACTTTTCCGAAAACAATGCTAACTTGTCAGTCTGAGCTCTCATGGAGAGGTAGGCTGGCGTTAGGCTATAGCCATGTAAAGCAGGGAAGGCTGTGCTGTAGCCAGCTATGCCAATGTCTTATTCTGAGATAGATGTGAAGCAGATTAAGCCCCGAGTGCTTAAGCAGCCTCACATATACCCTGATGTTAGAGCATGCGCACCAGTTGTCACTGCAGAATAGCAGCACTACGCCTGTGCGCACCTTAGCTGAGGCTGGAGTCGCTCGTGCTTTTCTCCAGGGCTCTGATGCATGCAGGAAGCAGTGGTGGGGAGAGGGTGAGCACCATTCTGTGTCAGAGCAACAGAGAGCAAGGGGTGGTTCAACACCTTCATCTGTCAATGGCAGATAAGGTAAAGCGGTATGAAGAGTCTCTGTGGTTTGGGAATCAGCGGCTGCAAAGAAAGATGCTAAGCCCAAAGAATGAAGAAACAGGGGCATGGGTATGCTTTCAGGACCCATAATTGTTCTTTAGATTATTTCTACTGCAGTAAAGACTGATAACAATAATGATTTTAAAAGTGGTTTCAAAACCTGTGTGTTCACCTGTGTATTTGTGAGAGCTGTGGTTTGAAGTTGCCAATATGGTTGGACATCCAGGGAAAAGTGTGGCTAGGCTGTTTTGTGTCCCCAAGAGAGCATTGCTATTTTCAGGTGTGTAGGGTGGATTTGTGGGTCTGAATTCTTGGCAAGTTTGAGACAGAGTCTCGAACCTCAGAGCAGCCCAGGAGAGCCAGCGTAGGGCTGTCAGAACACTGGGTTGTAAGACGTAAAGACCCAGTGGAGCAGCCTGACTGCCTGTACAGGGAGAATTGTGTGAGCACATATAGCTACCACAGGATTTGTGTGAAACTAAAAGCGTATGTAGATAAGACTCAGAAGACTCAATATGCTTTAAACTGTCTGTTGGTTTAAGTCATTTTATTGGGGAGCCTTACTGAAAAGCTTTGGGAGCCTTTGATTAGAGTCCCAGCTGGCATGATTTGTTCTCTTTTTGATGCATCACAGGAGAATTATCTGTATAATGGTGAGGTGCCCTGGAGAGCTGCAGCTCAGCCAGCCATATGCTTAGGTAATGATACAGCCCAATTCCAGCAGAGCAGTTAGCTGTTGTTCAATACACAGTTTGTAATCTTATTGATAAAATTATCAGTCATCATAACATCCAGGCATATATGTGGCTGCGTGTGGACTCAGTCATAGCATGGAAGTTTGCCTTAGAAGGAGAAAAGACAACTTCTCTGGAAGGCATTTCTTTGGGACAGAACTTCACATTTTTTTCAGCATAAATTGCTTTCTGTTTAAGCACAGAATTTTTCCTTCTGTGGTCTGTCTCATCCTCCAGTCTATAAGACAAACTGGCTGAAATTAATGCATGTTGGGAATGACGTAAGTCGTTCCTAGCAATACAAAGTGTACTGACTATACATATTTGTCCTGGTTTCATCTGGGATAGTTAATTTTCCTCCTAGTAGCTGGTATAGTGCTGTGTTTTGGATCTAGGATGAGAATAATGTTGATAACACACGGATGTTTTAGTAGTTGCTAAGTAGTGCCTAGACTAGTTAAGGACTTTGCAGCTTCCCATGCTCTGTCAGGTGCACAAGAAGCTGGGAGGGGGCACAGCCAGGACAACTGACCCCAACTGGCCAAAGGGCTATTCCAGACCATAGGACAACATGCCTGGGGGGAGTAGGCCAGGGAAGAGTGATCGCTGCTCGGGATGGGCTGGGCATTGGTCAATGGGTGGTGAGCAATTGCATTGTGCATCACTTATTTTGTATATTCTATTATTATTACTTTTTTTCCCCTCTACTGTTTTATTAAACTGTCTTTATCTCAACCCACAGGTTTTACCTGTTTTTCCCCGATTCTCTCCCCCATCCCACTGAGTGTAGGGGGGAGTGAGCGAGTGGCTGTGTGGTGTTCAGCTGCCTGCCGGGTTAAATCACAACAGTATTTCATACCATGTGACTTCGTATGTTGAGTATTTATAGTGCACGCTGCATCTCTTCACAGTTGGTGTCGTCACAGGCCGTAGGTCATTTTAACCTTGTATCATCTTCTGGGTTTGACACCGACAGAGAGAGGTATGCATACCCATTAGTGATTCAGCTCAGGGCTTATTCTAACTGTTATGTTGGCTGCACTGCTCTCCTCACAAGTCCTGGATTTTCTTACCTGGTGGGAGGGGAGGCACATCTTGTCCCTTCTTAACAAGGGTCACCAAAATGCTAGGATCTACAAGCAACTGTGACTTCAAATGCAGGAGATGGGAGCACCCACAAGACCCTTCTCCATTTATTTTTGGGCTCCTCTGAGAAACTGGAGAAGAATTACAAAAATGAGTAATGTTCTTTTCTGCTCACCTATGCTGAAGCATGGGGCTAGCTTTGGCCGGAGAAGCTACTGTGCAAGCTGCTGTTCAGTGAATTGAGAATGGATTTCCCCAGAACCAGAACGTCTCTGCCCTTTCCAGGGCAGTTCATCTCGTACCTGTAACTGCATCTGCACAAAGGAGGTTTTGACCCCTCTCTCTGTGCCAGCACTGATGAAGTGAGATTTCCTAAGATAAGACTTAGGGAGTCTGACAATAATTCTCTACCTAGTTCAGAAAAACATGTCTACATGCAGTTTTAAGGCACCAACAGGTCAGGCCAGCAATCTAAACTGTCCTGGGGCCAATTTTAAAGCCCAGGTTTTAAATTATAGAGGCTGCTTCGTTTAATTGCTACCAGAGTGGAGCGCCTAGGCTGTGCTGTGAACAGAGAGGCTGCTTCTGTCAAGATGCTTTCACAAACACCAACAGGCACTATCTAGCCTTGTTTAAAAATATTCAGTGGCACTTGTATAGTTTTCAAAGACCCCTGGGCAAGCAAAAAATTTTGAGAGCAGGTTTTTTTATATCACTTCATGTGACTTACAAAAAAGCTGCAAAATAATTGTGGTGCCACAGGTGTTCTATATGCATGACAAGGGAAAACGCTGACTTCAACTGTATCAGGAATCACAGTTTTTGTGGGTTTATGTTTGGTGGGGTTTTTTTTTCTGGAAATACCTAAGTAAGCAGAGAAATGAGTATGGACTTCTGGAAGTTTTATTAATAGGACTCTTTTACCTTCTTAATTATTACCGAAAGTCAAATGTTACAAAACCCTCAAACCTATTCAGCATCTGTTCAGGTAAAGATGCATGCCTGTTATTTGGCAATTTTCTAACCTTTGCATTACAAAGACAACGTTATTCTTGGTGCTCTATGGCTTGCGTGTAGGCTGCTGGTTAGTGTGAAAATCTAGGAAGGGAAACATTTTCAGAAACTGATAGGCTACATGCGCCCTGTTTTTAGCCGTTCACCAGCATGATGGCACTCTGCAATGAACATGTAGCCCTACTTGACCTATACATTAGTAAATCTGCAGCCATGTAGTGTAAATTCAGGAAATGCTGACTGATAGCACTGAAGAATTACTGGTAACATCTTTTTTAAGCACTCTGGGCATTACTTTCTTGTCTTCACAAGTAAAATATTCTAGCTTAAACTGCAACAATTACACTTAACAAGGCTTTTTTTTTTTTTTTTTTTTTTTTTTTACTATTTTACTGGCTTTACCAGGTCAGGAAACTCCACGGATGGCAGATTTATATTAAATATTTAGGCTCTATTGTTTTTTTTTTCCAAATTCTTTGCGGCTGTATGCTTTGTCAGTCTTCCCTGTTATCAAATATTTACACTGTTTTTGCATGTGACTCCATGTTACATGCAAATGCACTGGGTCAATAGGAAGGCTAGTGCTGCCCTTGTACTTGATGTTAATATTTAGTTACTCAGACGTATTAATTACTGCTGCCTTTACTCTGGGACATAATTTCATAGAAATTCATAATATTCTGTGCCTAACATTTAGATCTGGTCATATATGAATCATTAAGGAAAGATCATTAAGAAAATGTAACTAGGATCTAAAAATGACTACCTGACCATAACATATTCTTGATGAACCTCTGTAAGTTTATTGTAGTCACAATTGTTATAACATTACCCACAGTGTAAAACTACTATGATGTAAAACAACCACAGTGTTAAAATTTATATTTTGGTGGTGGGTGGAGCAAGAAAATGTTTTTCTCACGCCATAAATTTTTTTCAAGACCTTAGCTAATTTTTCCCTCTAAAATGGTATTAAGAATCTGTAATTTTTAAGATTTTTGAACTCATAATCTGATATTTTATATTGTCAATTGAAATATTTAAAAGGGAATTGCAACTCATATATTTCACTTTGCTTTAATTTTAGTATTGTTAAACATTTTAAGCATAATGTCATTCAAAAAATTGTAAGACGTGCTTGCTGACAGTTTAGAAGTTACTGGGTGGCAAAGGGGAAGACAGAGATATAGACACACACCTAGAATAGGATTGCATAAACCTTTCTACTCTGTGTATTTGTGTGTGCGTGTATCCTTTGCAGCTTTTCTATATATATCATTTCCTATCCTAGTCCATAGACAACCAGCAAGTTGGCCTGCAAGAAAGACAGCATGTAGATCTAAAGCTGCTGGAGATCTGATACAGTTATTTAGAATTATCCATTTGTTTGTGAACACGTCACCCACGTGTTTGGATTAGATTGGATTATATGTAAAGATAATCCTGATTAATCGACTACTGGGACAACACAGTGTTTAGGTATTTATACTACAGCACCTACTCTCTCTCTGCATTGCATTTGTTATTCTCTTGTTGCACAGGTTTTAGGGAGCAAGCCAGCGCTTCCCGAGTGTGATGATGAGGATGATGAGATGGCCGATATTGCAAACAGGAGAAATGCTAAACTATATATGGTAAGTTGGTTATTTATTTATTTTGGTTAGGTACACTCAACAGTATTCATGCATTCATTCTTTCCTCATATGTGGAGTTCTGGCTTCAGTTACAGAAGTGCAGTTGTGTTAGTTATATTTGCAGCCAATAGACAAGTTTCTCAAAGGATGTCAATCAAGACAGCCCAGGTAATTTGAGGAAAAAAAATGGATTACAGTCCTGTTTACCTATGAAACAAGCTAAGCATGGCCTATGAACCATGCAGTCCAGGTCAAAGAAGAATTAACTGGTCTTAAATCAAACTATATTTCCTGTCTTCTCAACAGTGAGAGTTTTAGTAGTCAAAAATGATTTAGTTATTCCTAGCATAGTTTGAGAGTTAGACAGTTATGTTGTATTTTATATATAATTCCAAAGGAATTTGAATGCAAAACTCCTTTCTTTTGCAATGCTGTTTTCCTCCTTCCTCACCTGCAATGGCTTAACTCTGACTAGGACAGTGCCACTGCCAGAAAAATTACCTACAAACAAAATGCATTAAATATTTACTCCATTTAAATCAGTAGGAGTTTTATAATTACACTCAGTAAAGTTATGATTTTTCCTTATGTCATGGTAGGCATACTGCTCTTTCCTAGAAGAGGCATGGAATTTATTCATCGAACTAACAATACAATATCTTACCTCTATACAAGGCTACACAACTATTTCTTTTTCTGTTTCTGAAAAAACCCAAACTATTTCCAGGCCTGTATTTTCTAACTCTCTCTTTTTCCCCCCCACAGCTCCCCTTTCTTTCATACTCTCCCACTTGAGAAAAGAAGTGAGAAAGTAGTTGGAAAAGTGGGATGCTTTTAATGAAACCTAGAAAAGACTTTATCTTCCCCCCTCCCAATAAAAAAAGATTGTTTTCTCCTGAAGACTGCAAGAAGGGTATTTTTTTTACAAGCTCTCATTAACATTGAGATCTGGATCTTTCTCCTCAGCGCTTTGTGCTCTGGCTCTTGCAATGAGGTTGCCTTGTGTGACAGAAAAGAATCTTTTGCAGGCATACAATGTACTTTCTTCCCTTTCCCATAGTCACTTAACCAGAAGGGTTTGGCCAACAAGTGGGTGGCCACACTCTGAGAGCACTGAGTGCTACCGGATCCCCACGTGTGTGACCTTTTAGGTGCCGTCTACAGGAGCTCTGAAGCTGCTGTGAAGTGTGAGAGAGGGTGCATCACTCCCTCCACAGCTCCTGCATCCCACAGACCACAGCAGGATGCAGCCATCTCTCTCCCTGCCTCTTACCTAATTCTTCCCCTACCCATATGTGTGCCTGGGGTTTACAAAAAGCCTATATGAGGTGATGATCATTGTTACAAGGCCATTCTTAGTCCTTGTTGTCTGTGTGCCATGTTTAGTTCCTGTTAATCATTCCATTCTTGCAAAAAATATTTATCTTTATAGCAGGGTTCAAGAAAAAAAAAAAAAAAAAAAAAAGAAGAAAAAGAAGGCCTGCGTGTATGATCAGGGCCATTACAGTAAGACAATACTAGAGAAGGGAAAAGTGCTTGCAGTGAATTTTGGAATCTTGAGAATTCTCAGAAAATTCTGTGGATATGTAATAAATTCCTCTAAGTACACAGGTCCTGCTAACAGAGTTAGCTAAATTCTGTTAGCTGAATTTAAATGTGCTGCAATACAACAGTGAGTGTCAAAGTCGGGAAGCAGGTCTACGGTGAGCCCTCACAGTAGGTGTAATAGCTGAGTTTTATGTGTTGTGTGCAGTGGTAATTTCCAGCTTGTGCTTCCAGGATATACAATGTAAGATATAATGGTGTATTTTAAATTAATTTTTAATTATGAAAGGAAATAAAGACTGCTAGAAAAGTTATTACAATATTAATAACTTCTTTTCAGCCATGCAGGAGTGAACTTTATAAGGTTTTAAAGGTCTACATGAACTTACAATGGTGGTAGAGGTTACAAAGCAGATTCTGCAACAGGCCTTATATTATGGTTTCCAATAAAAGAACTGTAGGTTGTAAATGGGGGTATTTCACTTGTTAATATCAGTGTAGGACTATTTTATTATAATTTCAAATGCTCTTGTTCAGCATGTATGTGTACCTTTGACTTCAGTAGGGGTTGCTCGGTAGCAGAAGATGACACCTAGGGACTCCAACAGTTCAGCTGAGCACATAGGAAGGGCTGAAGAAAATAAGGGGTTTTAACTGTGAGATGTTCACGGAATGAGCAGTTGAATTGAAAGCGGAAGAGAAAATTATTTATTTTAAGAAGTTGTGACAGACAGCAAACTCACTAAAATTAACACTATATCTCCCTCTATTGGATGTAAAATGAAATGAAACAAAACAAACCGAAAATCTTTAGGCTACCTTACTTTCCAGCAGCACACAGATTTCATACCACCGTTTGTATAGGAATGGTGACTGATTTTTACAGTAATTTTGGGGAGCAGAAATTAATTTGGTTATAAAAGCCAGAGTTGATCTAAATTGGAAATTATTGCTTTCTTAGGTGTCAGATGCAAGTGGATCCATGAAGGTGTCCATGGTAGCAGAGGAAAACCCCTTCTCCATGGCTATGCTTTTGTCTGAGGAGTGCTTCATTCTGGACAATGGTGCTGCAAGGAAGATCTTTGTGTGGAAAGGTAAGAGCTGGCTTCTGTTGTAAATGCAGAAGCCACACAGACATATCTAAGGAGTTGACACAACACCCTTGGGACACTGGCAAGAATGTAGTACTGGCTGGACACAGCACCCTGCACACGGTTCTTCCTTGGTGCAGTCAGTGAACAAGGATTGCTCACTTGGGTAAGGGCCTTAAGACCGAGTCTTGTCTAAGGATCCCGGCTGTTTTTGAGCTATCTGTAAGCTTGGGTGTTTAAATGCTTATCTAAGTGGCAATTACAAAGCAAACATAAAGAATTCTTTAAGTTCTATATATTGTCATCAAATCCCTATCTTCTGGGACAAAATCTGGACACTGAAAGTTTGATAATGGCTAATTTATGTTTCCATACATTGCTCCACAGAGGTGTGAAAGGTGAGTGTCCCAGGCATCAACTAAAAGCATAAGCTTGCAAAAACTTTGGTGCTTCTTTTTTTCTTGTGATTATTTCTCTCTGGTATCATCAATGCTTGTATGAGTGTCTGCAATTGCTTTGACTGAACATTTCCCAGGAGAAGAATACTAGTGGGGAATTAGTTCTGGACACCTTGTAGCTGGATTGTTGTGGTGCTGCCATTTCATCCAGTGCTGGGTATCTCCCTTTTTTTTTGTCTGAGGCAGTGTATTAATTATTCTGTGGCATTTGCATTTCTTTTTACCATGTGCAATAGCAAATAATTAATTGATGCCGTTGTCAAACTGCTGAAGTCAGTCCAAGAAGCATTGTAAGCATTTTGCTTGAAAACTTCATTTGCAGTTAGGGAAACATCCTTTAGAAGGGAGCATTTTGGGAGCATTGTGCTCAGATGGTTTGCCTGACCCCGTAATTCCTAGTTTTCAGCTCTCTACCTGACAGCTCCCAGAAGAACCAAGCCGATAGAATCAGACACAAAATAAATAAAATACAATTTAGGCCCTTTGAATGTGGCCCTATGTACTCCCTTGTACATCCAGACTTTGTTGCTGTTGGTAACAGTAGTGTGTGGAAAAAAAAAACATTAGTCTGTTGAGTCTTACCCTTGCACTGGGAGGCTGCAGTTATCATCTCTGCTGGAAATCTTCAGACCACTAAGCTGAGGAGTGTGAATTATTTTGCTAATAGTCTCATTCAAAATGGCATACAATGAATAGCTTATCAGAGCATCTTATTAGACTAAGAGGTCTTTAGAGTATGGTGACTGACATCCAGCTGGGACATAGACCTGCTACACAATATCATCCCACAGAGACGTTCAGAGATGTCTAACACTGAGCAAGGTTGAACAAGGAGCAATGGATGGGGAAGGGTGGTGGTAAATTGCACAGCCCAGCCAGACAAAATGAGAGTTTCTTTTACTTGGACTGTAGCACTGCCTGAAGAAGTCAAGGCAGATCTAGATAGCAGCTTCATTTACCACATTGCAGCCCAGCAAGGGAAGGTTCAGAGAAAAGAGACGGAGTGTTCTTGACCTTGAACGAAGCAGGTATTATTTGATTTTTTGATAGAAACACACACTCTAAGCAAAAAACAATGTCCCCCTTTTTTTGTTTTCTTTTTTTTACAAACTGTTTTCAAAGCCACTGAGGTACTATTTTGGCCATTCAACTTTGTGTGAATCTTACTGTTCATGCTATGTCCAGCATTTGTGTTTGTTCAAGACTGAGGCAAGAGCAATACCAGAGAAAACCTGGTTCAAGGACATCTTGTTTTTGCAGGATCTGTGAGCTCATTGCCCTTTCCCATGTATTGTTGCCCTTCTGTTTTAACCAGGCAAAAATGCTAACCCACAAGAGAGAAAAGCTGCCATGAAGAACGCTGAACAATTCATACAGGAGATGAATTATCCTGCCAAAACACAGGTGCGATCGATTTATGGATTTACCAGGAGAGCATGAGCTCTGTTAAAGACTTTGTTTTTAAATCAGAAAAAAAAAAAAAATATTTTAAGGGCTTATTAGACATAAGGGCAATGTTTCACTAACGGATAATTCAGAAAAGTTTCGGTTCGAGTAACTGTGTCAGTTTTGTTTTCCTTCAATTTCATGTGTCTTGCTTCATTTCAGATTCAAGTCCTTCCTGAAGGAGGTGAAACGCCAATTTTCAAACAATTTTTCAAAGACTGGAAGGATAAAGATCAAAGTGATGGCCTTGGCAAAGTATATGTCACAGAGAGGGTGGCTAAAATTGAGCAGATTGAATTTGATGCTACCAAGTTACATGAGTCTCCACAAATGGCTGCCCGGCATAACATGGTAGATGATGGTTCGGGGAAAGTAGAGGTAATTTCTGTGTTGTATTCAATCGTATTCTACCTTCCTAGCTTATTCTGTTAGAGGATAAGCTGCCTTTCTGTGTTTTGCCATTTACACTGTTGTGTAGAGTAACACTACATTAGTGGCAGTGTTACTTCTACCATCAGAAAAGGTACTTTGAAATAGAAAGTGAATCTGTCAGCTGCATGCTGGGTCATGGTTTTTTGGCACTTATGAAAGATGTTGTACCAGTCATCAATAGAAATCAAACACCAGAAACATTTCCTCTTCTACACAACACTTCTTAAATATACACTTTAAATATGATCCTTACCCTAAAGAAAAAATTCTAGCTCACCAGCTTGAAATCTGGAATGGGGAAACCCTTGGAGTCAGAAATTCATTCTGTGCCTTTATGCTTTCTAGAAGAACTTTCTTTGTCCCTAGTGTGTCTTTCAGGTAGCCTGGAATTAGAGAGAAAAAGATGACTGACTGTACAGTCTTTCCATATCTATTCATATCCCCCTGCAGGTATATGTTTGGACTACACAGGGCTGGTTTGGCATTGTACCAGCACAGTCTGTTGAATACAGGTCTGCATGTTGGGATTCTGGAAGAAAAAGATAAATACCTACAGTCTCATTGGTATATTTTCTAGGTTTCCAACCTCATACTTGGGATGGTCTGCGGGCTTGAGCAAAAGCAGCTTAGATCTGAAGCATTTTTTCTGTATAATTTTAGCAGTGTGGTTTTGGAGAGCAGCTGTTAACTGAATCGGGCTGTAGTGAATCAAATAGGAAGAAATCTGCCTAACGGTGTGTTATCTGACTACAGCATGCTTCTCCCAAATATTATGATAGTTCTATGATGAATCATAATGTTGTGCCATTCATATCATATTATCAGCCTAAGACATTAAGAAAGTAAGTTCCACTTAGCATTATGAGGTGATCGTATGAGGTGGCCTTAAAGCATCAAGACAAAGGAAAGGGTACTGCAATGGCTTGTTGATGGTCATTATTCATTCCTTCAGTGGGCACACAGGGTATATCTACCTCCTTCATGAAGAATCCTTCCTGATTTTATTCCATAACACTTGGAAACAGAAACAAAGGTCACTCAAGGCATGACACAATCAACTGCTTCTTGAAGAGTCTCAGGATGAAGTTCAGCATTCTCCAGTGATTTCTCTGTTTCCCCAGATCTGGCGTGTGGAAAGCAGCGGTAGAGTTCCTGTGGGACCTGAGATGTACGGACAGTTCTACGGCGGTGACTGCTACATTATCCTCTACACTTACCCTAAAGGGCAGATCATCTACACATGGTATGTTTGGTCGGTTTTGCACAGACCTCCAGCACGTGGATACTATTTTATGCTGACTTTATGTCCTTTTGAGTAGAACCACATGTAAATGCAAGGTTGTTTACTGTGTATTTGTCATGCAGTATAAGTTCTGGGTTATTTTGAAACTGGACTTACCCATTGTCTTTCTCCTTGTCTTTCTCAGGCAAGGAGCCCATACTACAAAAGATGAACTGACTGCGTCTGCATTTCTGACAGTTCAGCTGGATCGGTCATTGAACGGTCAGGCTGTGCAGGTTGGTGTCTTTTGGATAAAATTAAACAGAGCATGCAATATATGCAAATGCTGATGAGAACTGAAAGGAGGAGGTAGCATTTGAAGACTGGGAATATCAACTGCTCACGGTCTGTATCGAGCCAAGCACCATGGGATACTTTTTAAGTCGCTGGAGATTTTTCCCCTTTTGAATCATCTTTCTGAATCCAGCTGTCCAAAAGAACACAGATATCGCACAACCTAAAACTGCCTTTTATTTCCTTCAACTGCATAAATATTAGGTTTTAGTCCTGCCTAGCCTTACAAACTCTATACATGGTCAGTGGATACCAAAGCGTAAGATCCTCCCAGGGCAACTCACTCTGAAGCAGGTGTCTGACTGGGCAGTAGCCCTGTGTGAGCTCCCCTGTCTCCTTCTGAGTATGTAGAAAGCTGTGATGTTTAGCCTGGACAAGACACCAGACTTCTAGAGGGCCAAAACTGGGAGACGTGAAAGCCACATGACAGCCAGAAGGGGAGATCCTGCAGGAACTGTGCTGCAGGGTCTGGCTTGCCCCTGCCATACTGAGGAACGTAACTTGGGTTTTCTCATCCCGTGGTGCTTGCAGCTCCATGAAAGCAGGATATGGGGTGTACAGGGCAAGGCACGGGACACTGGCAGCTAAAAGGGCGACAAGATGAGCTAGTCCTAGCATGAGTAGCATGTGGGCTCTCCTGTCATCACTAGTGAGGAGTGGTGGGTGGGTGGAGAGGTGAGAGGTCTCCTCTTTTCACAGGAAGGCTAGAGCTGGAAGATGATGAGGGACAAGCAGAGATTTTCTAGGCAGTAGGAGATAATTCTGTGCTTCCCATTTCTTAATTACCAAAGTAAAGGGCTTCCCCCACCCACCAAAGTACAGTTAAGTTAGATGGCAGACCATACTTCTAGCTTTTAATCAGTTATGATTTATGATTGAAATTATACTAAGGAAGGATTAGAACACTTCTAGGTAATTACTCCTTGAAATATTCCTAACACATGTTCTATATTTGGACAGAGATCAGGACAATATGGTCCTGCCTCATAACTAAGGCCAATACTAATACTACAGTAATAATAATATTACTACTAACAGCTGCAATAATAATGTGCTTAAAAAGCCTTTTTATTAAAGCTGAAGGAGATCCATCTCACTGCAATGAGTGAGATTTTAGTGTGCAATTAATTTAGGAATATATATATGTGTGTGTATATATATGTATGTGCATATATACACACATGTATGTGTACATGCATGTGTAAGTTTGTATGCATGTACACGGCTACCTAGAATATACTACCTGTGCTTAACGTCTGTATTAGCATTATTTGAAAGGTTTACATGTACTATTTTGTTGTCACTAGATGGCACTGCAGTACAAATTACTATTAAAACGTCCCCTACTTGTTTTGTAGGACTATGTTTCCTTCAGCAGGTTTTTTTAGGGGTGGGGTTTTGGTTTTGGGGTTTTTTTTTGGCATTTGTAAAATCCTGCCACAGTTTGGCACCTACAAGTATACGTGTCCTAGGGTATCCTTATCAGGCAGCTGCACCAGTCTATTCAACTGTGAGACAAGTAAATGCACTGGCTGCCCAGCACGACCAGCATCGCCCCAGCCGCCGAGCTGCCTGGCTGCAGCCACCCCGCCTGGGCACCCCAGCTCCTGGCTACCCCAAGCCTCACCGGGCAGGGGGTCTCCACTCCTCCTCCTCCTCTGCTGACCGCACAGCATGCCCCATTCCCTTTTTTCCCCTTATCTTTCCAGGAGTGAAAGTTGCAGCCCTCCACCTGGGCAGGTGGTACTGTTACAAAGGAAGAACAAACAGTTGTATACAAATAACTTCTATCATACATTAACCTAAAAACATAGCTCAATGTTTTTCTGAACTTGTGATAACAACTTTTGCATCTGTAATGGAAGTTCATTTTTGTCATCCATGTTATCCTCTGCAACAAAGATTTATGCTCATCTTTTTTATCCTCTTGCAGGTGAAATACGCATAGAAATAATGAACAGGATGAATAACCATTCTCTTCTGCTTAAATACAGGGCACCTAAACTTCCAAGATAGTTTTTCAGGGGAATTAATTCACTCTATAAAACTCTATGAAATGACAGTTCTTTTGAAAAAGAGTAATTTTCTTATTACAGTAGATAGCAGCCATTTTAATCAGCTAAACATTATGTTAGAAGTTGGAGTCTTGTCTTTGTGTCAGCATGATTGACAAAAAAATCTCACAAATGTTCTAACTTTAATGTGTCTGGAACTATATTTTTAGATCTTCTCAGCTTGCCACTTCTCATTCTTGCTAACATACTTAGCATTATTGGCTAACGTCCCCTATGCTATTCAACGAAGACCAAAAATAACTACTCGTGTCCTTTTGTTTCTTTTATTGCATTTTTTACTCATGTACAGATCCGAGTCAGCCAAGGCAAAGAGCCTGCACATTTACTGAGCTTGTTCAAAAACAAACCTCTTATTGTCTACAAGGATGGGACATCCAAGAAGGAAGGTCAGAAACCTGCTCCTCCCACGCGACTCTTCCAAATCCGCAGGAACCTGGCAGCCATTACCAGGATTGCAGAGGTAAGGTCACCTGCTAAGTAAACCAACTATTCCGCATCGGAATGGTATATGGCTCTGTAGACCCATCTAATAAATCACAGAGAATGTGCCGTAACTGGCTGCAACCAATCTACACCTTTCAGAGGATACTGTAAGAAAACATGTAGTGAACAGTCACAGCTGACAAAGAATAGACAAGAAATTAGCAACCCCTATGAGATAGTCTTTCCTACTGCCAAATAGTCATAACTTTTGCCCTTCAGGTTGGTTCCCAGCCTCAAGTGAAGTTCTACTCTAATTTATATCAATATAAATCCAGGGAAAATACGAAGAAAAAAGCATAGCTGATTAACATCTACCAATGTGTTTTATATAAATATGCAAAGTAGTGATCACATTATTTGAAGATATGAAGAATAAAACAATTTCTTTCTTAATCTAGGTTGATGTTGACGCAATGTCACTAAACTCTAATGACGTCTTTGTTCTGAAACTGCCGAACAACTCTGGCTACACCTGGGTAGGAAAAGGAGCAAACAAAGAAGAGGAACAAGGAGCTCAATACATTGCCAACGTTCTTAAATGCCAGACTGCTAAGATTAATGAAGGCCAGGAACCAGGTTAGTATGAGGCCACGTGGTTGCTAACAGGCAGCTGAGAATACACAGCACTGCATGGAAATACAGCCTAAATGGTTTTTGCGACCATATATATACATATATTTTGTAGGCAGAAGCATATGCTTGCTCTCTCCCTTTGAAAATCCAACCTGACATTTTACCATGGAAATCTATCCAGAGCTGGCTGATGCACAAGCAGTGCAATGACCTGGAAGTCTATAGGACAGTGGCAGGAGGTGCAGAGGAATGTGGTCCTTCCTTTACCCTGAGTGCCTAGTAAGGGAGAAAGACATAGCACATTGTTCTTTCTAGGTCTGCGAGTGTTATTTTGACAAACTGCTGGAAGAAATGCAAGAAAATGCACCCATCTTTGAGACAGAAAAGAAGATACTGTTTGGGGATTCTTGAAACAGTATCTAACAAGCTAACACATCAAATGTTAAATCCACTGTTGAATAAATTATATATTATGTATTTCAGAGGAATTTTGGAAAGCACTTGGAGGTAAAAAAAAGTATCAGACTTCATCACAACTCTTGACAAAGGCTGAAGATCATCCCCCTCGCCTGTATGGTTGTTCTAATAAGACTGGCAGATTTATTGTGAGTATTTGAGGGATACTTTCCTCTCTTTAATTACATATTTTCTGGTATATTTTGCCTTGGGAATCATAAGGCATTAAATTAATTTGGGAATCTGGCTTAATTAGCCATGCTTGGCAAGGACTAGAGAGTTGAGGTTTGGTGCTTTAAATCAACCCAAATGCAAAGGATGGACAGAAGAATTAATACTGCAGACATTTGCACACAGACCCTGCTCCAACCTGGGACTAAAGGCTTGCAGATGCAAAAAGATAAGGTGTTTGCCCAGTCAAAAGCAATTGTATTCTTGCAGAGCATTGCCAGATTGCTATCATTTCACTAAGAAAGTGCAGGTCAGTGCCTTGCCCCTTATGTATTTGAAAGGGTGTTGAGGAAAAGAAATGTCCCTTGCCAAAAATCCCTAGCAGTCTGAAATTTTCCATAGAGATTTAAGACATGTAATTATGCCTCTAAGGTATGGGCCTGTGCTCAAGGAGGTAGGAAGATGTATTTCCTTAGCAGAAATACCCAGAGCTGTGCACTGGGTATTAAGCCTGTGATTCAGGCTTAATTACTTACCGTATTCTGGGAGGGCAATGCTGTGTCACCATTTGGCAAGGAAGCACTACTTTTTAGCTAGGGGACATAGTTGGCTACCATCTCTGCAGTCTGCTTAAAACACAGCCTATTCATCTGGAGAGGGATAAAACAAATAGGATCCTTTAATAAGGACTTCAAAATCTTAAGAGAGTAGTAAAGTGTATTCTTCTAACAGGCTTCTAAAACACTCCTGTGAAATATGGTAATAGGAACCAACCTCTCTATAATGTCTGCTGGGAGCTATGCACTTGTTTGGTTTTTGTTTTAAATTCCCTCCAAATTCTGTGAAATCACCCCTTTCCTGCAGCATTTCTCTAGTAACAGAATCACCACTGTTAGGGCTCACCAGAAGAGGTAGGTCAGATCACTCTGACCTTCTGGCCACCATAACACAGGGTGGGGAAAAGGAATGTCTTTTGCACCATCTGCTTACCGTCCCTTTAGCACTCCTACGTGACCAAGCACAGACAAACCCTTGGCAGTCCTTTAAAAGTAGAGGGCTGACTGCTGGCGACATTACTATCTCTCCTTCTCACACAGAGTAACATTAAACAGCTTTCCTATCTGCCTGCACATCCTTGGAAGAAGCAAGCAGTCTGCCTTTCCTTTGGGGACTAATCCTCGATGACTTAGTCAAGTGTAATGTCCCACTGTCAAGTGACTGGAAAGCTTGCTTGGGTGTGTATTTCATTGCTGAGCTTACCCACTGCAAACCAAAGCAGTTTCTTTTCCTTATTAATGAATGTAAGCGGCATTAATATATCAGCTGATATCAGCTGATTGATGTAGTTTGCTTGGTACAAGGTGCTCTGTGGAAATTTCCCTGTCCCCTTCTTCTGGCAGACCTCAGTCCCAACCTAACAATAGCCACAATTACAATGTCAACCTCAGCCTCTTATGAGGATATCCTATCAATTCTGACAAACTGAGAGCTGATTTCACAGGACATGCAATTATGTGATTTGTTTCCTTTCAGTGAAACACCCTTGACACATTCATCAAATCAGTTTAGGGCTTGACTCTTCAGGAGCAAAAAGAATTGCACACCAGTTTCTGGATTTATCCTTTTAAAAATACCTTTGGTCTCTGCAAAATCAGAATATCTTGAGATATTGTTCAAAACCAAAAAACCCCAAACGTAATATCCTTTTTAGATTGAGGAGGTCCCAGGAGAATTCACTCAGGATGATTTGGCTGAAGATGATGTCATGTTGCTGGATGCTTGGGAGCAGGTAAGCTGTGTACTTGACCACTGCTTTTTATGGCAACAAGGGTAATTTGTTCTTAACCACTTAGATCATAAGATGGGAGGAAAAATCATCTTTGTGAGAATGGAAGACGTTTTGTTTTATGTAAATTATACCAGAGGGAGCTACATTTTTTGAGCTATATGATGTGCTAGCGTGAACATACATGATTGAATTTCCAAATATAATATGAGACCATGGCAGGGACTTCCCATTAAAACCAATGGAGACTGCGATAGTATAAGCCCTGGCAGTGTTCTGAAAGGCTCTCAATAATGTTCTTGAATTTATCACTAAAATGTATTCATTTCAAAAAAGAAAGTTATTGCATAACATGCATTCAGAAACCATAAAATCCACGTAGCAGCAGCACCTATAAAAAGTCTTACTAGAGAAGGGGACAAACACTAGACCTTTACACAGATTTCTTCAGAAGAACCAGGTGGAGGCAGACAGAAACAATCTCCATCGCTTCCCCATGTTCACTGTAAAGTGGAAAATTTGAGAGCTTTTTGGAGGACAGGCAAACTTACTGCAGGTGTGGAGGGCTCACCTGTTTCTCACTATATTCTCTCTACCCTTCCTGTCCCCTTGGAGGGCGAGGTGGCCACAGATTCCATGCATTTTATTTGCTTCTTCATCCTAACCCTTAAGGAATGAAAGGCTGAGGTTTTTGGAAATGAAAAGGAACATCCAAGGTCCATGTGGGAAGGTGGGTGGGAGAGCTAAATGGAAAATGGTTGGGACACACTGACTCAGGTAAGAAGGAAAGAAGTCCAGGACATGTATCTGGTTTCCAAAAGGATCCTTGAAAGAAAAAAAAAAAAAAGTGGGGCTTACAGATTGAGGCTCTGGTTGTTGGGTTATTCAGTGGGTTATCTAGCAGTAACCTGGGGTAGCACTGATCACAGGGCACAGGCATTAATGCGCACACAGAGCTCAAACCAGAGACAGCTCCTGTTCAGTCTTTTTTACCTGCACCTAAAGAGCAATTTCCTTGGCAAATTGTAGAAGATACCAGTGGAAAAGGTAATTAGAGTTCCTTTCATTGGAGTGCATAAAGGTCTGGCTTTCCAGTGTCAAGAGAGCCGTGAGATTTCAGAGGACAGAACTACAGTCTCTCACAAGCGGAAAAAAAAAAAATTATCATTTTTGGTTTGTGAGAGCTGTGTATCTCTGCAGTCTTTTCTTAGTGTATATTCCTTCTCCTAGTGGAACCAACTATTTTGTACTTTACCTGCTGTACACAGCATCCTTAAAACAACATGGGAGCTATATCTTTCTCTTCTCTGTCTCCAGGTTTTTGTCTGGATTGGGAAGGATGCTAATGAAACTGAGCGACGGGAATCCCTTAAATCTGGTAAATCAAATCAATTTGGTAGAATTCTGAGTGAAGTAGCATCAGTATCACTTAAAGAAGTGAAAAACATGAGGTAGAAAAAATCTAGTAACATTTACAGTGTTTAGAAGGGTTACTGAGCTTATTAGGATTTAATCCTGGAGAAGATTGTTTTCTCCTTTAAATGTGCTTTAAAACTCATTGTATCTTTCTTATCTGAAAGTTTATGAAGGGTAAAATTCATCAAGATAGCATTACTAGGCTGCAGAGCTTCTTAAAGAATGTGTATAGGAAAGCGCCCTGAAAAGAAACTGCACTGAAAAGAGAAAGAATTTAAAAGGAGATACCTACTTGAGCTGCACCCTACACTGATGTAGTCAAAGGAATGCCAACAAATCCCCAAGTCCTTACACTGCCACCCTTCTCTGAGTTAAATTTGGAGGAGGAAATTCCAACTGCAGAACAAATCAAGACAACTCACGTAGAGCGCACCTCCGGGAAAAATCACGCGTCATCTCTGGTGTGATTTCACATAGCCGAGCCGTTCTGACAAAGTTCGTGCTAGAAATGCTTGCAGACATTTCCCTGGAGCAGCTAGGGTTACCTGGCTGTGCTGCCAATATGCACTGATGTCAAGGGACACTACGCTGGCTTTTACACAGGAAAACAGGGAATGAAGCTTGTGCATTGGCACAGCACCAGCAAATTCTTTCTCCTGTTCAAGAGCCAAAACCCAGCTGTATGGCAATGAACTGATCGGAGCAACAATCCCTCTGTTCTAACCTCGTGGAAAAGTCCTTCACTGGCAGCTGGGAGAAGTCAGCAATTACCTGGTCATTTCAGTGCCTTTGAAATAATTTAATTGAATACTGTATTATAGTAGCCCTGGGTTCTTCCACTAGGGCTTTTAATGTATTTTTTTATACCAAAGGAATGAACTAATATATTACATGTTTTATTTCCTTTCTGTTTTTAGCCAAATGCTATATTGAAACAGATCCTTCTGGCAGAGATAAGGGGACCCCCATTGTAATCGTGAAGCAGGGGCACGAACCCCCGACGTTCACAGGCTGGTTCCTGGCTTGGGACTCCAACAAATGGAAGAACTGATCTATCCAAGGAGGCTTCAGCTTCAAGCCAAAGAATGATCAGAGCCCAGCTACTTTCTAGTATTTCTAAGCACAGGCTTATGCAACAGTATGGGGCATCTCTGTTACGCTTTCCTGAGCTTTGAAACATTTCTGTGGATAGCCTAGAAGTTCTTAGCACCGGAAAGCATAAATGATAATTGTAAACTGGTCAAATGGGGTGAGTGGGGCTTTTCCTGTAGTAAATATGGAAAGTGCTACCAACACTTTAACAATCTGTTGATTCTTCAAACAGCAGCTGTGGATCAGTTTATTTTAATGTGCTAAAATGGGCCAAATTCTGCCTTCACTTAAAAACCCAAACTAATGCCACAAAAATTCCTTTAGATTAAGGTTGGCATAATATTGCATAGAATTTGGCCTGATACAGGACCAATTCTCCACATGTTGCAAGGCTAGGACTGGACATGATTTACTTACTAGGCCAAGATATTGCCACACTCAACTCACATAAAATTTCAGATGATGCCTGATCCAGAGCAGCAGCTGTGTCTTGCAGGGGGCAAATAAGGGATGAGTATTTTGAGAAAGCTGTGCTTAATGTGTTTGTTTGTCTTGTTAGTACATATATTTGGAACTTCGGAGTGAATGGCTGTTAGAATACAAACTCGACAAAGGTTTTTTTTGAGGGACTGTTTAGCTCATTGTAATTAATTTTTTTAGATTTATCTCTGTGAGCCACCTCCAGTTCCACCAGATCATTTTAAGCAAAGCTCTTAAACACATTCTGGTGCACTAGTGCTTTTAAGTGGAAGCAGAAGAAATAACAGCTTCAAAAATACGTACTTTGCCTTAACCGGATTGCACTTAAGCCATACTTTGTCTCAGTTGCCTTACTCAGCAGTACCCTGTTCTCCAGCATGCAGACTGCTCACCTTGTCAGGTGCAGGATTTATTTCTGCTCATTTTCTAAGCAGGTCTTAGTCAAATATCAAGTATATCAAGCACAAGGAAACCCCTTCGTTTCAGAAGCGTTCCACATCCTAGGAATTTGGAATGTGAGTACGCACCATAGAATACAGCCTTCTCTTTTCTCTCAGACACAGTTATTTGGGCTTTTTTTTATTCTGGTGAATTTAAGAGTATGTTTTCAAATTGTGTTTTATTTGTAATTTAGCCAGAAAAGTCTGCTTAAGAGCAGCAGGAAGAATTCTGCTTCAAATCTTTAGCAATGCTTTGAGCAATACTTGTTTTAAACAACAATTTGTACAGCTATAAATCATGTCAACACAGCTTTTTAATGAAAGCAGTTCAATGGTTTTATTATTCTTATGTTAGATTTGAAAGTGAAATTTTAGACATTTTTGTATTTTTTTTACATGATTGTGATTTTGAATCTGGGTAATGCAAAAGAGAATTTTGTCCGAGCTCATAATCAAGATCAACGACAAAAGAACTGTGAAGCTAAGGGATTAATTATAGGAGTTTGTTAGCTTTAAGCATTGCTTAAACCTCTGCTAATATAACTGGGCTGTACCTGAATGTAATTTCATTTAAAATAAAATTAAAAACCCCAGTATTCTATATGCTGAGCTGATCTTCCTCTCTGACATGTTGCTGCTCAGAGCTTCCACTGATGTCTAGGAAAACTTCCTACAACACACAGTAGGTACCTTCCTTTTTAGATGGGCGATGATGCAATGAGAAGTTACTTGGTTTTACTTTGGTGCCACTTTACCCACTGTTAACTCTTCCCAACAACTTGAAAGTGACAAACCTAAGTGAAAATCAAAGAACTGGGTGCTTATGAACTTGTGATTTCATCTTTAGGAAAAACTACCGTTGTTGTTATCAACCTCTGTGGCATTGTAACTTTTTGCTTGCAAAAATGATTGACTATAGGAATGGCTATTTTATAAACCAGGAGGAAATAGGTGTATGTTTGTTTTTAAAGGATAGGTCTTGCTTTTTATTTGTGAGGGTAGATAAGGCGATGTCCTTCTGCTGGAAGGAGCACAAAGACCTTTTCAGTTCCTCAGCTACTGCACTTCATGCAGCCACTGAGCAGCCTGTGATTATCTGAAGGTTGTCTTCAACGCATACATATGATTCTTCTCATTTTTTAAAAATAAGAGTTATAGTAGCTTCTTAAGCAAGGATTAGACAAGATTTGCCCTCCTTGTACGTGAACATCTTGTGGAGCACTGAGGGCTCTGAACTGGCACGGTCTGCCAGCATATTCTGCAGCACTGAGAAAGCTGCTTTTCAGTTCCCTCGCACAGGACAGAGGAGCTTTTGTGGCCTCCTGGCCGGGGCACTGGGGTTTACCATACATTGTTCCGGCACACTGATTACTGATGTTGAGAAGAGCATTGAGAGCTCATAACGGAACAGTGTTCTCAACTGGGCTCTAAGCACAACAGCTGCTAGCAACATTGTTCTTGGGTGTACTTGCTAGCAAGGAAGTTTATTTTTCATACATCTATGCAGCGCACACAAAGATGTATTTCTTTCTCTCTGAAGAAGAAGAGAGGGAGGGAGGGCAGACAGGATGGACTATGAGTGCTTGGCAGTATTAAAGATTAAGCTGTTTTCAAGAAAATATTTAAGCACATAACTTTATGAATACACATAGCAACCCCATCTGCTTTCTCTTCAGAATAAACAGAAAAAATTGTGCAGATGTATACAGTAAAGGTCAGTCAAGAATAAGCTACATCTTGCATTATCACACAGTCATAGTAGGTTCACTCTATTTGTAATGGCGAAATTAGACCCTCAGTGAGCAGTTTTGCTATGCTACCAAACAGCAAGCATTCATATGTTCTACTGGTTGTAAACACAGCATCATTTTTCATCTTTGTCTTATAGAATTTCATTGCAACAGAAAGATGCTAGGAATCCTTAGAGCCAACAGGACATCATAATACTATATATATAATAGCATAATCTTGGAATATAACTACAGATTGTACACAGGAGAGGAGCCAGCCTCTGGAATCACTGCTCTAAATATCCATTTTGACTGCAGCACATAGTACCATATAGCATCAGGTTTGCTGTAAACGATTACGTTAAACGTAGCTAAGTTCCACTGAACAGTTTGATCTCTTGTCAGTTCAGACTCACGTAGGCTTCACCTGCAGCAACAAGAATGGTAGATGGTAGATAGGGGGACTGTGGTACTATCCCTCACAGGAGAATTAAGGAATCATACACAAAATATCTTGCTCACTGGACTAGAGCAGGAGGTCCTCTTGGACATCTCTAACAGGCTGCAGGGACACTTCTTGTTAAAAACTTTGTGACCTTCTTGTAGTCTTCATTTTTACTGGAGCTAAAAAGGCCAAAACAAGTCCATTACTTTCTATGGACTGAAGTTGCTCTTCGGAGTCCACTTCTCTATAGGAGAGCTTGGAAAAAACCCAAACTTTGCTTTAGAGTGCAATTGCTTCCTCAGCATCCCACTGAAGTTGTGCCTTTATGGCTTAATTGAGCCAAATCTAAGTATATAAGACACAAAAAATATCTCATAAAACCAGAGTTAGACAATACTTTAATGTGCTGACTTTCCGAATCCTTGCTTTTTCTTTTTTAAAGATGGTAATTTTGTCTTTAGATAGAGAAATAGTACACTTTTCCCTTCTTGTGGCTAGGACTTTAGCTGCTAAAATCAAAGGAACTTCTGATTTCATTGAAAACACAATCAGATCTTTAATCCACTACACACACATCCTTAATGCCTCCTTACATCCCCTCTTGACTGGCCTAAAGTTACTTTGCCCTCCTCTGACTATTAACACATTACCTTATGCTAAAAATCAATAAACTACACTCACTTCAATTAAAGCTTCCAAGGTGCAAGAGGGAGAAGGGCAGGCCACTGGGAACTGGGAGGCCCCCCGTGCCATAAAATTAGTCAGTGACTGTTCTGGCCTGTCTCCCCCCGCACAACATTTTCTTCTTGACATTAAAGCATATATGCATTACAGGGGAAGAAAAAAAAAAAACAAACCTGTCCCTACAGAACATGTAAGTTGATTTTTATTTTTCTTCTAAAAAAAATAGCAAACTGAGTTATTCCAGGGGAGCAGACAGAAGGGGAATCAGCCTGTACCAAGCTTCTTCCTAAACGCATCCACACTTACACGTTGCTAGTGCTCACTCCTCAAAAGGATGCTATGAGTGTACTGAGATCCACAAGATTGTACCTTTTACCACCACATTTAATCAGTCAGCAGCGAAATGAGGGCCTCCCCACAAATGAAATGAAAGCATCAAGTGAAGACTACAGATCACTTGCTCAGGTAATTACCTGGATAGGGACAGGTTGGGCCAGTGAAGGCACATGCAATGTTTCTTTGGGAAAGAAACCAAGCAGCAAGGGTGGGACAATCTGAATGGTATCCCACCACAAGGCCCAGAGGTAGGCACAAGAGATAGCAGCAATAATGCTTTGATTATCCTAACAAAGCCTCTTGACCAGTGCTAAAAGAGCACAGCTCTCTTTAACTGCTGCCCTTTAACAGGTTTCACAGAGGTGACTCAGGGTGATTTCACAGCAGTTGGCAATATTAACATCAAGGCTGAATGCAAAAGGCTGATTTTAACATCATTTACCTGACAGTTCACCACCGTGCTTTGTGTTCTCTGATGCTCTTTCTACAGAAGAACAATCCTGATTAAAATAGACCACTGCCAGGAGGAACCTAGGCCAAATTTCCCTCCCGGCTTAGAGTTTTAGAGAAGTGGTTCAGAAAGGTCACAGGTTTCCTGTAGCAGGCATGGCAGCACAGCTGAGTCCACTGTAGTTGCCTTTGTTGGTGCCAGAGTCTGCTGTCCTTCCCACCACTAACCAGCTGGTTAGTCCTGCTGGACTTGGGCGAGAAGTTAGTTGTAGCAGGGAGAAGAGACAGGAGCGGCAGTGAACAGCAAGGCAACAACAGGCAAGAAGCCCACTCTAGCAGCCCCCTACTTTCTCGCTAGACAGTCCCAGTCAACAGCAGATACCTCCCACACCTCCTGCTGCCAGACTCTGTCCCATCCTAGCATTTGCAGATGCACTCCAGCAACCACTAAATACCCCACGTGTGAATTCCCAAAGCCCTTTTGCAAGATTGCATGAGGAAAGGTGATGGAAATTTGTCCTGTATTTAAAGCAGCAAACAAGGATTCTGGTAACCTGTGTTTTCATGTGGTCTGTGCATCCTTGAGTAACCTGAAGCAAATCACTGAATTTTGGTGCTTCTATTCACCACCTATCAAATGAGGATTTCTTCCACCCTTTCCCTGCTTATTTAAGCTGCGCTGTCTTTCACTGGGTGTTTGCACAAGACTTGACTGAGTGAAGTCACTTCTCAACACCGTCATCTTGTAGGTACTGCTCATAATCCAGACAGCTGCCGGGGTTACTGGTGCCAAGCTGCACAGACTCGCTCAGAGCATGATGAGACAAGAAGAGAAGTGCGAGGTCTGGGAGGCTTGCTGAAGCACGGGTGCTGCTCCACCAACAGTGGCATTGGGGCAGCAGAGAAAGGGCAGGAGCCAGCTCAGCTGAGCAGTAAAGTCTTTATGTTATAACACAATATGGGCAAAAATACCCCCCCCAGCAGTCTAGTTCAGGGTTGCTTTGTCAGAGCACTCCCTAAGATGTAACTATAGGTGCACCTGCATCAGGTCCTTATGAATTCCTCCCCAGATCAGGAGCAGCTGCTCTGGGGACAATAAGTGGGAGGGGAAGACAAGGCTCTGCTGTGTTTATGAAGGAAAAATAAAATCCTCAGCTGCTGCTTTACTTTGACCTGGAGAGCGAGAACATTGGCTGGCTGAAGGTATGTCAACTTGTCTGATCTCCCTGAAATTTTTCTGCTGCTGTTGTTAATGACACAAGGCCTCTCTGCAGTACAGTGTGTTTTGTTTCTGGCAAGAGTTATTTTCCAGGTGACCCAAGGACTGTGGCTGTTGGTAATTTATTGGATCTTTCTTTTTTCATTACTGAATTATACCGGGTAGCAGACATCCGCTGACATGGCTTTAATCCAGATACTGCATGTGAGGGGTCCTGTCCATGCTAAAGCATGTGAACTGAGAGAACCAAAACATGCCTGATGACTATGGATGGAAGGGTGTAGATAACTGACAAGTATCTTGTTCATTTTGGGGCTTTAGTTTTGCATTTTAATGGTATCTCCACTCTTGAAATGTCTGCTGGCTGCTGCTATGGTTTCACATGAAAGGAAGAATTTCTGTCCTGTAACAGTGAAAGCTGGGAGTCAGGGACTCTGTGGTGGCTGCTAATGGCTATCATTTTATCTCAACTCTGAATTATCACAGGTCTGAAAAACACAGAAGGATGTATATGCTTTAGGTCCTAGGCTGCTGGGCCTTCAATCAATC